TAGAACACTAGACCAAATAGATTCCCCAAAACTAAGGTTCAGCCTAATGATTAAATGTGCAGTGCCCATGTCGGGAATTGAACCCGGGGCCTTGGCATGGAGAGTGAGTGATTGATTGTGGTTTAACGCTGCTTTTAGCAATATTCCACCAATATCAGAGCATGGGACACCAGAAATAGACTTCACAAATAGTGCCCATGTGGGGAATCGAACCCGGGTCTTCAGTCTGCCCATCTGGGGAATTGAACCCGGGTCCTAGGCATGTTGAGTGAGTGAGTGTGGTTTAAAGCTGCTTTTAGCAATATTCCACCAATATCACAGCAGGGGACACCAGAAATGGGCTTCACATATTGTGCCCGGAATCAAACCCGGGACTTCAATCTGCCCATCTGGAGAATTGAACCCGGGTCCTAGGCATGTTGAGTGAGTGAGTGTGGTTTAAAGCTGCTTTTAGCAATATTCCACCAATATCACAGCAGGGGACACCAGGAATGGGCTTCACATATTGTGCCCGGAATCAAACCCGGGACTTCAATCTGCCCATCTGGGGAATTGAACCCGGGTCCTAGGCATGTTGAGTGAGTGAGTGTGGTTTAACGCTGCTTTTAGCAATGTTCCACCAATATCACAGCAGGGGACACCAGAAATGTGCATCACATATTGTGCCCATGTGGGGAATTGAACCCGGGTCTTCAGCGTGACGAGCGAACGCTTTAACCACTAGGCTACCCCACCTGCCCCTGGGCATGATGAGGCAATGGCAACTCAACTCGACTCGACCGCCCCTACTGATGCTGTACACAGTGTACAAACACACCATCATTGCCAAAAGATGTCATAACAGGAAGTCAAGAAGAAAGGTGACCTCTAGCAAAGGTCATGGCACTAAAATGCAGCTGTGGGAGGGTTATAATTTCCAGTCAGCAAACATTGTATAATGTCATTTCACGATATGAACTGAGTGACTGCTACATAACTAGCTATAAATAAGCACACACTTTCCTGGTTTGTTTAAACAAGTATTGATAAAGAACACTTTCACCTGAAAAACACATTTCAAAAGCAATCAGTCACTTTGAAGAATCTTGCAACAAATTTGGGTTTACATGCGTTTTGGAGTGAGTGAGTGAATATGGTTTTACTGTGCATATTAAAGCACCACGGCAAGGGACACCAGAAATAGGCCTCAAACGTTTTACGCATTTGGGGAATCGAACCTGGGCTGTTGGCGTGACAAGCAAATGCTTAACCACTAAGCTACCCCACCACTCCCCAGTGTTTTGGACCTAAGAGACTGAGAAAGGTGGTTGATAAGCATGATGAATGATCCAGTATGTTTCAGTGCCATGATACACAGTCAGTCAGCCACACACTGTACCCACCTGATCCTCATTACTGACTAGGGATGGGTATTGGAGGTTTAAAGTATATCACAATATATTGCAATGCACAAGGCTGTATTGGGATACATATCAACATATATTGTATAATTCTAAATTTTTAATTCAGAAGCAATCTGATACATTAAGGTATGACCTGAAATTCATCAATTTAACAAAACAAGAGGTCCCGGATGCTCGCTTATACCGATGCCGATATACTGGTAATACCTCACACCCTTATTCACGACAAGCCTATTCTGTCTCGACATGTAAGTGGACAACTAATATTTTCAGGTAGTTCACTTTTTCATATGATGTAGGTAACAAACACTAGTAACCCAACACATCATACATCCCCACACGGCTCCTGAAATCACCTCATCACTTCTTCCTATCCGACTTTGAACAAAATTACTGAATGTAAAAACAGGCATATATATATATATACTAGACACCTGCACAAAAAATAACAAATTGATTAAAAGCGTACATTATCCTTTATCTAGCAAGCACCTGCTGCTGCTGCTGATTTGAAAAATATCATAAAATTGATTTCATGAGAAAGCCAAGATAACACAATACCCATCCCTATGTATACAGTCACAGTATTCACCATACCACCACAACACAATACATTCAGACTGTTAAGCTTAGCTACTGTCCACAACAGTGAGCTACAAGTTTGAACGTTGTGACAGCAAAGAGCTCTGGCATCATGAAACAGTCCTCTGCTACTTGGTTACGCACACAAACACACTCATCTCGTACAAACCGTACATGGTTTTCAATTTGTATGGCAACCAGTTACAAACAAACAGGGTAACATATTCATTATACCAAAGGAAACTTCACATTAATATTTAGATAAATTTCAAAGGACTTTCAAAGATAAATGTATAAAATAATTTGACAAACTTTGAGATTGGTGTGGATTTTCTAACCCCCACCAAAGAAAGGTGAAGCAACGAGAACATGGTGGTAAGATCTACATTATCTCCACTTATCTACTGTTGACATATTTTCTAACATATCCTCGTAAACAATTCCACTTAACTTGTTTCTGGTTTGATAGGAGCACACTGACAGCTTTCTTAAGATGTCTAACAGAGGTAGATACTGCTCTGGTAAATTGTAGCTCTTTTCACTTATGTACCAGAGAGGATCCCATACCTTATTTTCTAAGCTGGAAGGGACAGCAAGGCTTAGCTTCATTTTCTGTGCCTCAGTAGGGATCTGATCCCCAACATTGGTACTGAATGGGCCATCCCTATAGGGATCAGACCCCTAAATTGGGCACTAACTGTCCCAGTTTGTTCCTCTTAATGGATCTAATCCCTTAGGTTAGGCCTGACTGGGCCATTTTGTTCTTCTATAGGGATCTGATCCCCTAAATTGGGCTCTAACTGTCCCAGTTTGTTCCTCTGAATGGATCTAATCCCTTAGGTTAGGCCTGACTAGGCCATTTTATTCTTCTATAGGGACCTGATCCCCTAAATTGGGCCCTAACTAGGCCATTTTATGCCTCTGGAAGGATCTGATCCCCTAAATTGTTCCCTAACTGGGCCATTTTGTTCCTCTGAAAGGATATGATCCCCTTAATAAGGCTTGACAGGGCCATTTTGTTTCTCTGTAGGGATCCCATCCCCTAAATTTGGCTCTTACTGTGCCAATTTGTGCCTCTGAATGGACCTGATACCATAAATAAGGCCTGACTGGGCTAACCACTATGAATCTCAACTGCCCCCACAATAGATGCATGAAACTATCTCTTTGTTCACAGGACCTATAATGAAGCCACATGACCCCGCTGAATGGGCGCAGCTAGTAAAACACATTCACCTTAACTCAACAAGACTATGTACAGAATGTTCAATGATGTATAGCTGTCTGTCCTGCCTGTCCTACTGACTTAAGCCAAGTAATGACTTCATTTACCAGCAGAACTGAAAAGGATGACTTACAACTAATGTTGGCGTGCCATACAAAGACTTGTTTGCTGTTTGATCTGATAAGAAATGATCAATGAATCGTGACGACAGATTTCTATATCTATACAGTAAGGATTTCAATGGCTAAAAACATCTCGTGGGCTTATGTTTAGCAGATACTTGTTTACGCCCACAGCTTGACATTAACAAGCAAAGAAAAAGATCATGTGGTCAATGGGCCTGTTTCACACACACCCTTCTTTTGTAATCCTGTTCAACACTGCATTCATTCTTATTGTTTACAAGGTATAATTTTCTACAAAACGTTATAAAATTAGACCCCATTCCACAAAGTGATCTTTGCGCTACGACTATTTTAAGTCTAGAGTAAGGGTATTCAATCGTCTCAGCAAAGATCACTTTCGAGTATAAGGGGCCTGTTGTTTGACAAATGTTGATAGACCTAACCGATGACACAGCCGAGTATCGAACGACTGTCCTTCCGCTCTCCAGGCAGACTCTATCCACTAGACCAGAGTACTGATCGGGTGGCACGGATGGCCCAGTCTTCTAAGGCACTGCGATTCGCTGCGCAGAGTTGCGTCCCTTGGGCACGCCAGAAACCTATGATTGTGAGTTCGAATACCGGTTCACCCCGATTATGTTTCTAGGTTTGTCAGCACCATACCCTTGCTCGGTGGTTTCACTGAAATGGTAAATGTCTGAGACCTGCATCACTTTGGGCTTTCCTCCCACATTAAGCTGACAGGCTGTGATATGACTGGAAAACTGTTAAAAGCTGCGTTAAGCCCAACTCACTCACTCACAGTAGTGATCAGCTTTCAACAAGAACATAGTACTGGGAACCTAATTCACACTGCAATCATCGGGTGATTATCATTTATTCCCAAACGTTCCAAAATCAAGACCTTACACAAAGGTGAGGCAAATAATCATCAACTTCATATCAGATGCCTGACAATGAATTACTGAATTAAATATACCTTCAGTCTAAACAGCCATTAGTGATGAATAAGAACCAGCTCTACCATTACAACTCACAGTTTGGATGATGTCACTGCATTGACGTCAGTCTCACATTGATTTACTAATCATAAAGTTTGAGACAGCTAAAACCTGGGAATGTCAAAAAGTGAATGCCTGTGAACTTTTGCTGAAATCAAATGGATTTTTCTAAACATTTCGTTGTGTTTTTTGTTTGTTGATCAATGCTACACTCAGAAATACTCCACTTGCATGGCAGCCTGTAGGCAATAAAATCTTGACCAGACAAACTATTGATTGATACTATGAACAACTTTCCGGGATGTCGGGCAACAATGACCCCAATCTACCAAGTCCCTGAGCCTGATCCCCTGATACATAAGTTTTTGTTTGTTGTTTAACGCCACACTCAGCAATATTCCACCTATATGACGGCAGTCTGTAAATAAAGAAGTCTGGACCCAACAATTCAGTGATTGACGTCAAGAGCATTGATCCACTCATTTGATCATTTGATACGAAGACACGAATCAACCAAGTCAGCGAGCCTGACCACCCGATCCTGTTAATCGCCTCTTACGACAAGCATAGTCGCCTCTTATGGTAAGCATGGGTTGCTGAAGACCTTTTATATCCATAAGTCGCCCCATATGACAAGCATGGGTTGTTGGGGGAAAGGACTCACCTGTTCGTCTGAAAGTCCTTCCTCTTCCATTGATTGTTCCAAAAGCCGGTACCTGAAGGCAAAAAGTCAGTGGTTGAGTCATGGTGAATTTAGTCTGGGTCATGGTGAATTTAGTCTGGGTCAAGATGAACGTAGTCTATGTCAAGGTGAACGTAGTCTATGTCAAGGTGAACGTAATCAAGGTCAAGGTGAATGTAGTCAAGGTCAAGGTGAACTTAATCTGTGTCAAGGTGAACATGTCATCGCACAAACTGACAATCTCATTAAAATCAGACCTAAGTTCTCGCTTCCACTAAACAAAGATCTGAGGGCACATCCCATTACGGGTCACGTCAGAATGACCTTTCGCGAACTTTGACCGACCACTGAAATGAATAACAAGAAGTCGATATCAGCCAATGAGAAAGCAGCATTCTCGAGCTCTACAGCACTCGTTTCCACCTGGCGACTTCCCGTTCAGACTAGGCTTGAAACATATGTTGACACAGTTCTCAATTAAGATTATGAAAACTGAACAAAAAACATTCCTCAATGTCTAATATATTGTTGCGATTGTATGGCAGCGCTTTCCACGTACTGTGCAACGCTTCCCCCGTTCAAATGTTTACCCCAAGGAGGCGAGATATAGACGATAACTTTGACAGAATCAGTCGTACGGGCCTTAAATGTCGTTCTTAATACCCCGTGTTAACGTTTTCGAGGTTGCATTCCAACTGTCTTGCATGATCTGGTAAGCGATGCTTTGATTGGTTGGATGAAAGGTCGTTCTGACATGACCCATAATGGGATGTCCTCAGATTTCTGTTTAGCGATAGCGAGAACTAAGATCGGAATTTAATGAGATTGCACAAACTAAGAGATCATAATTATACAGCAAAACATTTGATGGTTGTTAGTGTTTGAATTAAGCTGTTAGCATGATAGTCAAGGAGTCCACATCATATAAAAACACTAAATATTCAGGAGTCTCTAGACTGAAATACTATGAAAGCAAACCTCAAAGACCACTACCCCAAACACGATTTCTAACACTGCCATGAAATACCTAAATTTGTGCAACTTAATTTGGTTTCTGCCGAAATATTTTGATTCACTGCACTTAAACTTTTGATATTCAATGACCATTCAACTTATTTCAAGGACACACACACAGCGTTAGAAATTGGCACTAGTCCTGTAGTCCTTGCCAAACTGCCCAATGGTTAAGGTATCATAAGGGCTAGTACAAATTTGCCCTTTTTAAGGGTTTTGCTATATGTTATCATTATAATGACAAGTGGACTAAAAATGTCCGTTTCTACTGCATGGAGACCAGTTTTCTCTTCCTTTTTTTAAAACCGCATTTATGTGCAACATGGTCTTGCTTTCATACAGTGAATGAAAAAAGTTGACCAAAGACACTAATATATGAATGAGAATATAATTTCAACATAGCCAGTGTTGAAAGCACATTACATGAACTTGGAAACAACGAAAATGTTATAGTTTTGTGTATGTATACAACACTGCAGTCACACAGTTAAGGTAAGATAACTCTAACTGAAGACTAAAATATTATATGTGGAAAATTAGGAATGGCTGAATTCTGAACCGGGAATGAAAGCATTGACTCGCGAGGTTGAAAATGACCTGCATGGCAATAATTCTGTTGTTACTGAATCTGAACTGAGGGAGTGTTGTTATTCCATTTCTAACATTACTTCCACCAATGTATTCGGAAGAGGATAAACCCAAACAAATCTACACATCACGTTTCAATCGTCTAAATGGGTCATCCTGGTCCTAGTTTGGACAATGGTTTCTTTCAGCAAGTAATCCTTGCCAAGCAGCAACTTGGTTCACATTAGAAGATCTTTTGATTAAGAACGTCAATATTGAACCAGAAGGTGTATTAGAACGTCAATAACCCTCACACAGATTAATATGGAACGCGAGGAGCTGCAACTGTCAAAAATTATCTTGTTCTGCAAACATTTCTGACAACATTGACACTATTTGTTGAGCCAAGCTGTAGTGCAGATGGGTGTTCAGCCATGTATCACATCTCAATGAATACAAGACATGGACAATTACAAGAGAACAGTTTACAGTTGTGTCAGTATTTGGGACACAGTCATCACCCTATGACAGGTGAATCATTGTTTTAAGTCCAGGAAACTCTTTGCCCCCCTCCCAAGATATGAAATTCATGTTTACACAGACTTAGAATTGAAACCCAGTGGCAATTTACTTGGTTTAATATGATTTTAGACATTCTTGCCTTTTGTGACTTGTTGGATAACCTGTGTGAAAGTCCACAGAGGTGTTTAATGATCCTCACTAAATGCTGACTTATAGTCAGGTAATAGTGACATAAGATTTGTGCATGAAAAGCTTTGAAGAGAAATTCAAATTTGAATATATGAATGAGTGACTTGGTTTTTTTACACAGATTTTACAACCCCATGGTCCTATATACGAATAAATGAATATATGAATTGGCTGTAATAATAGGACAAAGGATTCAAGAGTGTTTGTTTGTTTGCTGTTTAACGCCTTACTCAGCAATATTACAGCTACATGACGGACGTCTGTAAATAACCAAGTCTGGACCAGACAATCCAGTCCATGACATCATGAGCATCGATCCATGCAAATGGGATACAATGACATGCATCAACCAAGTCAGCGAGTCTGACCATCCGATCCCATTAGTTGCCTCTTACAACAAGCATAGTTGCCTTTTAGTTTTACTGCAAGCATTGGCTGCTGAAGACCTATTCTACCCCGGATCTTGTGAGTGAATGGAAATATTAATAATCAGGACACATATTCTGTGTTCCTTACTCCACATTCAACTTCAGGAAAATTAACTGCTTTCATGCCACTGATACCAAAATGTTGTTAAGCCCACAATGAGCTATATGAAGAGGGCTTGCAAAAAAGAAATGTTTTCAATTTTACAATTCAGTTGTCTGTACTGCTCTGGAATAACCATAAAGATCCTAGATGTAAATAGTTCTCCTCTACTCTATGATTAAATGCTATATACAGTTCTACTCGATTCTATGATCAAATGCTAAATACAGTTCTACTCGATTCTATGATTAAATGCTAAATACAGTTCTACTCGATTCTATGATTAAATGCTATATACAGTTCTACTCTATTCTATGATTGAATGCTATACACAGTTCTACTCTATTCTATGTTGAAATGCTACATACAGTTCTACTCTATTCTATGATTAAATGCTGTATACAGTTCTACTCTATTCTATGATTAAATGCTGTATACAGTTCTACTCTACTCTATGATTAAATGCTACATACAGTTCTACTCTATTCTATGATTAAATGCTGTATACAGTTCTACTCTATTCTATGATTAAATGCTGTATACAGTTCTACTCTACTCTATGTTGAAATGCTACATACAGTTCTACACTATTCTATGATTAAATGCTATATACAGTTCTACTCTATTTTTTTAATTAAATGCTACATACAATTCTACTCTATTCTATGATTAAATGCTATATACAGTTGCCTAGTGCCGGGTAGCCTAGTGGTTAAAGCGTTCGCTCGTCACGCCGAAGACCCGGGTTCGATTCCCGACATGGCTACAATGTGTGAAGCCCATTTCTGGTGTCCCCCGCCGTGATATTGCTGGAATATTGCTAAAAGTGGCGTAAAACCATACTCACTCACTCACTCACTCACTCACTCTACTCTATTCCATGTTGAAATGCAATCTCCAAGTTTTGATATATAAATTGAGTCATACTGAAGATATAAAAAAATCCACAAGCCAAGCTGATTCTGTATTGACTCCACTGATGTGACCACAAAACAACATTTATCTTTTCAGGACAAATATACAGTACAATTGTTGCTCAGTAATTCCTAAAGCCAGTGAGACTGAAGATCAGTGGTACTGCCTACAACAGGATCCTTCCCACTTCCTAGGTTGGTAACCACCAGCAATCTGGCCGGACACAACATCAGCTGTTGCTATCCTGGTTCACCAGAGATAACCACATATATCACACAGTACATTAGCCTCTAGCCTTGCTCCAGGGCTGTACTGAAAGGAAAGTCCATGGATGTGAAGTAATTCTATCCTCCTAATAGACAAGTCTAGATATGTGGACAGTAGCCTTGCTCTAAGATTGTACTGAAAGAAAAGTCCATGGACATGTAGTAATTCTATCTTCCTAACAGACAAGTCTAGATATGGGGACAGACTCCAGTCTCTTATAGGGACAACTTGTTCTTATTATTTACATAATCTAGAACTTATGTTTTAAACAAATAATTATTCCGTTAGAGACTTGTGCAAGTCTAATTAGCCTTGTCTACAAGGAACTACACACAGATACTACTGCAGGAAGTCGCCTTATGTTACCACACTGGGAGGTAACGACAGAATTTGGGATACTTGTAGCTTGTTGGCCTGAAAACTTGTTTATTGTTTGTTTAATCACTGTTTGAGATGATGCTTTCAGGACCCACGTGCACAAAGCAATCTTAGCGCTAAGACTATCATGAGCCTATGTTAAAGAATGGGAGTTACGATCATCTTAGCTCTAAGATCGCTTTGTGCAAGTGGGCCCTGGTGTCCAAAGAAAAATATAACAAACAAATATTGTGAAGTTTGTTTTCATTAAATTCTAATACATAATTCTGATTGAAAAAAACATTGTTCCATCATAGCTCATGATGTGATGTTTTAATAAACAAAGATGTTCTCTGTGGCATAACAGTCATAACAATCAGTGTGAAACGACTAACACAAACTAGTTTTCATATATAGTTTCCTGACTTTCTATATCCTATTTCTACTTTCATTATTAGTCTAAGTAAAGGTTATAGATTCTCTAACATGGGGCAGGCTGAGTCAGGCGAGTGGGTGAATTGACAATATTATCTCTGGTAATGGCCATAATATTATATATCAGCCACAATTTTGTCAACAGGGTTCGAAATTAACATACCATATTCACGCAATAAGTGTCCTGGGCGTTAAGAAAATTTACAAAGGGGGCGACTACTGAAATCATACACAAGTTTAATTTGTTTATAGAGATCAAGCAGTAGTGTTTGTTATTGCACACCATTAGCAGTCATATAGCTGCAATATTGCTGGTTGTGATGTAATACAACACACAAATGAATGTAATCAGCCAGTGTGAATGTTGTAAGCCCTTGAGCAGCTTATCCCTGATCTGGCCTATCCCCACTAACCATCCCATCACCCCTGTGTCACAGTAAGGGATAATCCTCGTTATACATCATCCCAGTCAATACAGACAAATATGATCACTATCAATCATTGGATATTACTCATATTCAGTGAACATGTCGATTAACATGTCTGTATAAACAGCTGATTCCACTGCTGAACAGCTGGTTGGAGCACATCACATCAACCACATTTCAACACAAACCACACAGCCGAAGACACACAGGAATGCATGTTTCAAGTACTGTTATTCGTCTACATAAACTTGTGATGTGTCACGTGACTTTCACTGACTCGTATACATGCAGTTTATTGCCTCGTAGCTGGGAATACGGGATTTATTCTCCCGCTCAGAAATCCACAAACATCCTGCTTTCTTCATGGTGGGGTATGAAGGGTATAAAGTGTTTTATCAAGGTCAAGTGAACCAATCAAACTTCAATATTCTGACATGGATAATAAAGGTCAGAGATTGAGGGAGTCCTGGTTTCAAATATCATAGGAGGAAACCTCAAGGACACCTAATTTCAAACAGGTTAGGGCTACCAGGAAGGTAACCAAGGGCCAGATAGGTAAAATTATTTAATAAGTGAGTCTGACATGGATAATAAAGGTCAGAGATTTAGGGAGTCCTGGTTTCAAATATCATAGGAGGAAACCTCAAGGACACTTATTTTCAAACAGGTTAAGGCTACAAGGAAGTTTACCATGGGGCAGATAGGTAAAATTATTTAATGAGTGAGTTTATACACCTGATGTCGCCCAATCATTATTGCATGTTATTGACGCAGAACCACTCCACTGCTAGCATATGTAATTGGGTGTGTCAGTTGAGCATACAATGGTTATATTGAAGGTGTCAGTGGTTGCAACAACAAAGAACTACTCAATAAATGCAGACAAAGAACTTTGCTGCCTCTTCTCTGGTCAATACATTTATATTGTGGCGTGGCTGGCTTAGTTGTGTTTTATACTGGTCCTTTCCTATTGCATATTGATTTGGCCTGCAATATGTATGCTATTCATGATATGTACACACTGATCTCTATCGAAATCTCCTGTAAAAGAGTACCCAATAGTTCAAACATGCCACACGACAGACTGACTGTATATTGCAAAGCCATACATTACAATGAATTTTCTTGTGAAAAAGCAAAACAGGTTTTCACAACAAAAATAGACTAGATTACCTTGCGTTGATATATGTGTGCATACATGTATGCATGTTCCGGTGTATTGGTATAGGCTGAATTCAAGGTTTATGGCGTTGAAAAAGACTGCCCCATGGAATAATACTCTCCACGATTTACACAAAATAAAGGTAAAATGACACCTTGTTAAACACATTAAGCATATAACATCCTTATGATTCTGGTTATACAAAACCATTTTGCGAAATAAAGAGGAAAATTAAGCAGGAAAGTCATGAGGTCCTTGTTATCACACTATTAGATGTTGAATGTTAGAGTGAAGGGTCAAATATCTAGTGGATTTAGCATACTAGCAAGTGAGTTTTGTTTTTACACCGTTTTTTGCAATATTCCCGCAATATCATGGCTGGGGATTCTGGAAATGGGCTTCACAAATCGTACCCATGTTGGGATTCAAACCTGGATCTTCGGATGACGAGTGAACGCTTTAACCTCTAGGCTATCCTACCGCTCCATTAAGTATACAGGGCAAGTTTAGTTTATGCTATACGAAAGATGCAATATCTACTGAAAGGACTACCTTTGGCTGATAGAACTGTTTTAACTGTGATAAAGAACCTTTGACTTCCAATGTTATTAATAAACATTACAAGGTATGCAATCTTCTGAATGTCAAGGTGACCACGGAAGAGAATTGATCACTGGCTCAGTGTTTTTCCACGATACATCTACGTCACCCCCAGTGTGTACATGGGCCCCAACAAGTAGCCACAAGCTCTTATCACTGGAGAAATTCTTTCCTCCTTCAACATTGTAATCCACTGGGTAACATCAACGATAAACTTTGTGCTCTTGCATTCCAATATTTCATTCTGCCCAAAATAAACAGAAAATGTGAGTTATTTTCATCATTTTCCATCATGCATCATACACTAGCACAACGCGTTGATGAAAGGGACGGCTGTCCGTATTTACACAGATAGCAAGTTGGCTTAGGCTGCAGCTTAAGAAGTCTATTACCTCAACAATGGGGGAAAATTATGCGTTATAGATAATGATAATCATGATTGGATATTGACATCTATACAACTGTAAATTATTGAAGCAGAAGAAAACTGCCATGAAGTAATACTCAATAGGTTATCAGACCTCTATTGACACAAAATCGGTTTTCATTGACGTAAGTCTTGAGAGCTGCGATGATGACGCTTGTTGCTGTCAAGCTGCAAAACAACCCCTGAGGCAATGATATTCAATCACTTTCCTTCTTAAATTTGCTTAAAATAGGCTGAAATAGGCCTTTTCAAAGAAGGTAAATTCAGAAGTAATCAGAGTTTCCTTCAGCACAATTTTTTTCTAAAATTAAACAGGCATTTTAAGTTATTAACAACAAAAGTGTTGAGAGTCGCAAAGTTAGAAGTAAAACAGCTCATTTTATTAAAAATGAAATCCACAGCTCATGAGCTGCACCCAGTACCTTATATCTTAGTTCTGCAGAGTATAAATGTTTCATTGTCCCGTAGATCCAGTGGTGTGATGGAGTGAGTGAGTATGGTTTTACGCCGCTTTTAGCAATATCACAGTGGGGAACACCAGAAATGGGCTTCATACATTATGGGGAATCAAACCCGGATCTTTTGACAAGCAAATGCTTTAAACACAAGGTTACCACACCACCTGCGCCGCACTCAGCAATATTCCAGCTATATGACAGCAGTCTGTAAATAATCGTGTCTGGACCAGACAATCCAGTGTTTGACATCATGCGCATCAATCTATGCAATTGGGATACGATGTCATACATCAATCAAGTCAGCAACCTGACCACCACATGCCGTTAGGCGCCTATTTCGACAAGCATGGTCGCCTCTTACGGCAGGCATGGGTTGCTGAAGACCAATTCTAACCCGGGATCTTCCCAGGAAGACAAATCAAGTCTTGATTCAGTTGTAACAATGACTTGAGAATCTACAAGGAGTTATCATAAAACTGAATACGTAAGTAGTCTTAAATATATCTGCCAGACAGCCTGGCAGTTGGAGGAAAATATTCATGCAGCCTGACAAAAAAGGTATCTTCCACGGGCAGCGGGCCGGCAGTTATTTTGGACAGTGACACCAGGCTGCATGTGCTTCAGTTTGAACTACAGCTGTACAACGCAGGGCAATATAACTACTGTAGTGTGGGTGTACTTAGCTCACCTTGTTTCCCGTTCCTCATGCTGAGAAATGAGATTTGAGTAGTAGTTCTCCAAGGTAACCTTGGCTTTTGTCACCTTGTCAATGGTGTGGTTAGAGATAGGCACTTGTTCTCCCACTGTGGCCATCTTGGAGCGACGACTCTGAAATTATAGATCAATGTACAGAATAATTGATGGTAAAATCAATTAAGACCATGGTTCAGACATCCTGCAACAGGTGGTTATTGAAAGTAACCAAGCATATGTTGTACCCTTGTCAGGAATCGAACCTGGGTCTTCAGCGTGACGAGCGAACGCTTTCGGCACAAGACTACCCGACCGCCCCTTGGGCATGACAGATTAACTATAGTTATATGAAAGATTTGGGTGGTCCTTAACTTCTTTTGAGTAGGATATTTGCAGTAGAAGCATGAAAATATCTTGCATTACGTAATATATTCACAAGACCATGGATACAGGAGAACATACGCCCCCTTGTCAGGGTTAGAAATTGGCACTAGTCATGTAGTCCTTGCCAAACTGCCCAATTAGTTAAGGTATCATAAAGACAAGTAGAAATTTGTCACTTTTAAGTGTTTTGCTATATGTTATCATTGTAAGGACTAGTGGACTAAAACTGTTAGTTTCTAACCCTGCTTGAAAGAGTTACCCCTGTGGATGTGTATCACAGTACCCTGAGGCTCATGCTATCAACCACTCCTTTGTCTGGTCAAGACCTCAAGTTTAATACCGTATTCGACGTAATAAGCGCCCTGCTCTAATAAGCGCCCACAGTGACATTTGCTGATATATTGGCTGGTGAACAATCCCAATTAGCAGCCCTTTCCGATTGATCAATGTACACAAGACTAATTTATTCGTGTATAATACACACTCGTGTGTTATATGCACCCTTAATTATGGGTAATGAAATTCTGGAAAAATATATCTGTCATACATAAACATTTCAGGCTGTCTGCATAACCATGAAATTTAACTTTCAACTCTGTTTTTTTTTTTTCACCAAAATAATATTCTAATAAGAGCCCCCTATTTCTAATTTTGAGAGCGCCCTGGGCGCTTATTACACTGAATACAGTATTTCCATTGACTGCGCTGACTACGGCATAGGACAGCATTTACTCTGTATTTATTATCATCAATAACAAATTACATAGGTTTTATGTTATTGCGTGGAATTTAGTTAATAATCTGCTTTGATAAACACAGGCCCACAACGCAACACTAATGACAGACTGTTTTTCTATGATTTGTTGGTTGGTTGGTTTGTTGTTTAACGCTGCACTCTGCAATGTTCCAGTTATATGACGGCGGTCTGTAAATAATCGAGTCTGAACCAGACAATCCAGTGATTGACATCATGAGCATCGACCCACGCAATTGGGATACGATGACATGCATCAACCAAGTCAGCGAGCCTGACCACCCGATCCCGTTAGTCGCCTTTTACGACAAGCAAAGTCGCCTTTTACGGCAAGCATGGGTTGCTGAAGACCTATTCTACACCGGAATCTTCACGGGTCGTTTTTCTATGAAGTATGTGTGACAAGAATGTTAGATGTACAAATCACATAGAGCTCTTCCTACTACTGGTGTTGTTTGTGGAGTCTCTGGACTACTTCAGAACGTAACACATCAACCTACTTACTGACACAGCTTAAGTGAAAGGTACTGAAACACATCTTATACTACTCAATAGAAGTTTAGGACCACCTGATTCTTTCATATTACTAAGTTAATCTGTCATGACATGGTTTGAGTGAGTGAGTGAGTGAGTGAGTATGGTTTTACGCCGCTTTTAGCAATATTCCTGCAATATCACGGCGGGGACACCAGAAATGGGCTTCACACATTGTACCCATGTTGGGAATCGAACCCGGGTCTTCGGCGTGACGAGCGAACGCTTTAACCACTAGGCTACCCGACCGCCCCTGACATGGTTTGAATTATATTCCAAACAAATATATAATCACAAGTGAACTACAGATTAACCCTTATGAGTATGTGTTTAGTCCCCTGGTTCGATTTATAATTTCTGATTGACATTATGCATTAAACTTTTCCCTTAAAAAATCAAGTTGTCAATTACACATCTCATCAGTCACATTTAAAATGTCAGTTCAGATATGAAAGGCCATGTTCAGCAACCAAACAGCTGATTACATCTTCTCCCAAATCAATGTTTTCTGTAATCCGTGAAAGGCGTAGTTAGTTTAGACATGAGACTGAGCATCAAAAGTTCAGGGGTTGATTTAACTGCTGGTCCATTGGCTACTTAAAATTACAAAGAGCTTGCTGTAACGTAAAGTAGATGGCCCATCTGGCCAGTCAAAATTTCACTCCTTCTCCGTGTATGTTCAATATTTTTAATTTGATCATCTCGGTAGAATGACAACCGGTCGTTATGTTGTAATGTTGTGTACAACAACATCTTTGTTTGCGCATAAATGTCTACAAAATTAGGCATATGGAAGCCAAGATTTAATCTCAGAATGCAGGAAAAAACATTTTATGGGGGAGGAGTTCTTAAATATTCAGAGTCCTGCCAGGTGGCTACATGACCTCAGGTCGGGCCACTCCGCAAGCTTCCACCATTTAGTTGATGGCCAGTCAGTTTGGAAAAGGGCTAGTAACTTTTAAACGGAGCAAGTCCTGATAGCTACATACAAATGCGTTGTTAAATCTACCCCTGTGAAAATCTGATTTCTACAACCCATGACATCACACTTGGCCATATCGTGTGACAGCATGAGTGACAGGCATGACGATATCGAGCCCAAGTCATGTGGTGACGTCTACACCACCTATTCAAACGTTCAGAATTGATTACAGCAAATCGATGTAAAGTGACATGCTTTGTCAGATCACATTGCACTGTATTGACTATGGTGCTGAAACGCACGCCGCCATTACGCCACGGGAGTACGCAGCATGTGCACTGATACGGATAACACAAATTGATCAGTCCGCTCTACTGAATTAGACACTGCATGACTGCCCTGTCCAGTTTATAACTCAACACACTTTGAAAGATGTTCCTGATTATGGAAACTGACATCAGTGACTTGAACCTTAAAGAGGGAGAAGTCAATCTGTTCAAAGAACTTTTTGATTAGAAGGTGATGGATGAATATATGTGACGCATATACCATGAATTCACTGGACACAATCTCTGGCTCTGAACAACAATTCTTAAATGCATAGCAAGTTCAGCGGGAGAAACTAACATTTTTAGTCCACTAAGCCCTATAATGATAACAAAAAGAAAAACCCTAAAAAATGGCAGATTTCTAATGGTCCTTATGATACCTTAACTATTGGGCAGTTTGGCAAGGACTAAAGCACTAGTGCCAATTTCTGATGCTGGCAATGGTCAGGTGATCTTGGTGTTCCACTTCTAGGATGCAAAATCTTAAACTTATACACATTTGATTTCATATTTTAGTTTTTAAATCATCAGGGATTTATCTGGACCTGCTCAGAGGCCAATATCTGGCCCTAAGTCTGCAGCAAATGTCAGAATATAAATTACAAGTCCCAATTCATGTCAATAAGTAATATGTGTGATGGGTTGGTCAAGGCAACTTGTGTTTCACAGGCCACAAGGACCAAGACTACAGGCCCAGAGGAAGCAGCTCTAATGCATAATTTAACATTATTGCATGAAATGAAAAGTTAAAATACAATGTCAAGAAAATGAAAATAAGAATAAGAATGTGAGGCAAATCATATTTATGAACAAACAAAAATCTCAATTTGCCTGTAACAAACTTTGTTTGGAATCCTAGATATATCCCTGATAATTTCCTGACACTGAAACTTATTTCTATCATTGTGAATACGGAAGTTACTATTTTAAGGCGACATTAAGTGATACATTTGCAATATTCCAATCAGACACTTCAGTGAGAAACATGTAGGTAACTTGCCACAGGCAAACACGAAGAAGATGAATGTTAAAATGAAAAATAGAAACGCATAGATGTGATCGAACTCAGCCACCGCCTCAGGCACTTATTGTGAACTAGAATCATCAAACCTAGAATAGCATTGTCATTGTTTGGCTAGTGCCTTGAGCAGCAGATGCACTACAGCTGTATAGCATCCATCCTTGCTGTCCTAGCAACATGGAAGAGAAGACACATGATCTTGTCCACATAATTTGCTTGCTTGTTTGACACCTAACTCATAAAAAGCGTATGTACCAGACAATCCAGTGCTTGATATTACGAGCAACAACGCCCCATGCTGTCTGGGCAGGGTGGCACACTATCAACAAATCACAGAGCCTGAAAAACTGATCCATCAGAAGCCTTTTACGACCAGCATAGGCGGCTGTGGACTATTTCTGATCTGGAATCCCAACAGGGACTGGCGATGAATAATTCAATATGTCTGTATATATAGAGATGAGTGAGTGAGTGAGTGAGTGAGTGAGTGAGTGAGTGAGTGAGTGAGTGAGTGAGTGAGTGAGTGAGTGAGTGAGTGAGTGAGTTGGGTTGGGTTTATCGCCGCTTTTAACAGTATTCCAGTTATACCACGGCATGTCAGCTTAATGTGGGAGGAAAGCCCAAAGTGATGCAGGTCTCAGACATTTACGACTTCGGTGAAACCCACAAGCACAGGTATGGTGCTGACGAACAGAAACAAACCAGGATTTGAACCCACAATCATAGGTTTCTGGCATGCCCAAGGGACACAACTCTGCACAGTGAACTGTGGCGCCTTAGACGACTGGGCCACCTGGGCCCCCTCATATGGAGATGACTAAGTGTCAGCATATATACACCACAGGTCTCTTTAGTTATTCCACAGGTACTCCAACATTATAGTACATATCGAATGGTGAATTATCACAGAGATGCAACAGAATAAATATATACCGAGCTTTATGGAAAAATAACTGTACAGTGATAGAACAGTCATGAAGTCACAAACAAAGTGCTTTTTATGTTGCATTATGAGGGTTACTATTAACCATCACCTTATGAATGTTGATAACACAAGAGTTAAGTGAAAAGATCCATACCAAAACTAACACGACCTCACGGTCCCAACAAATGCGTTGACATTCACGCGAGAAATATTAGAATCAGAAGGGCATTAGCTCATTTGACGGGAGATAACGCTGGACATGATAC